CATTCTCTAATTTTGGTCTTTCATAGTAACATATATATTAGGATTCAAACATAGCTTTCCAAGCCATGGAAATTACAGTAAGTGTTTGTCTTTATAACTGATGAATTCTGATTTATTTTTTTGCTTGATAGACTTCTAACTGTTCCAGTGGCTTTAACTTTTCTACAATTCTTACAGAATAGATTAATGATCATTTGTTTAAATTTATTTTTGCATTTTGTCTTTCTCAGTTTAGGAGGACAGTTCAAAGGAAGACTGTCGACAATCTTCCATTGAACTGTTTTTCCAAATGGGGGGATGGTTGGCAACCCTACTCTCCACTCATGCATTGTTTAAACTTTTCAAAGTAATTATTTTTCCAAGAAATTTTGGTTTTTCCAAAATCTTGTGATTTAGATTCTAGAATCTAAATCTTCTAGAATCTTGTGATTTAGATTCTATCACAAGATCTAATTTTTCAATAATGTAAAGAATTTTTCCATTTAAAGAATGTTCTTTAAACTTTGTTAGAAATAGTGTTCATTCCAATGATGATGTCTTTTTAAGAAGTGTTCATCTAGGAAATACTAAAGTTGGTCTTCAGGAGGTCTGAAACATTATGATTATATTTTTTAATATGTGCCTTCTGTTTGGAAAGTGTTGATATGCATCAATAATGAGTACAGTTTTTTAATGTGTTTTAATCATTTTTAGGACAACTGGTAATACTATTTTTGTTTTTTTATTTTGTTTTGTATTTTTTTATAATCATCATAATACAAATTTTATATTTACACAAACAGAATTTTAAAAAAAATATGGAAATAAGCATTCATCTTATGCTGTTTATATAGATATTTTACAAGCTTTTGATTTGGTTTTGTGCAATGTTCTGTTAGATATTCTTACAAATGAATTTGATATTCATGAACAAGTATAATGATATAACAATTATATATCAAAACGATTACTGGATTAATTGGGCTACTTCACTGCTATTATTTTTAATTAAATTCTAAATAATTTGGTATTAGAGATAGGCATTATGCATCATATGTTATTAACTTTAATAATTATAATTAAATTAATATTTATTAAATAATTTAGAAAATTCTGGAAGAAAAGAATCTGCCCAGAGTGGGACTTGACACTTACCATACAGAAGCATTGCCAGTTAAGCAACCCTGGCCTCTGAGCAATCTTTTACTTCCAGACATATTTAATTTAGATAAAGCCTTACTAGTTATTCACAGTGCTGACTAGGGATGACTCAGAGCCAAAGCCTATAAATACTCAGTATAGTACTCAGCTGGTTATCACTTTACCCTAGCATAGCATATATAAACATCCAAATACATCGCACTAACCTTGTATAGCTTTGCAGTTAATATTTAGAATGTAACACTAATGTTTTCGACCCATACTAGGATCTTCTTCAGGTGTTCTATAAATTTTTCTGGTGTGATCTAAGTTTGATTCTGATTTTTAAACATTCCAGTCTCCATTGCTTCTATTTGAAATTTATTTTTTAAAATTTCAAAACTTAAATCTCCAAAAGACGTGCACCTGCACCGGCTGTTATAGCACCATGTCATACATAACTGCCATGCTCTCGATAGTTCTTTTTCGTCTTTAAAATTGATTGACAGGCCTTTGCAGTCGATTTATATGTTGGGTTTGTCAGATCATTGCCGCTTGTTGTAATTAGATGTAATGCCATTTTCACTGGCATATATTGCTAAGGCAGTAGTACTTTTCTTTTTTTCAATGTCTGTTTTGTGTTAATGGCGGCATTGTTTGAGTGATCTTTTTGTAGATCCAACATATACGAGGTCTCTATCGAATCTGTTATCTCTTAGCGGAATTATATACACTCCCGGCGTTCTTTCAATATCCGCCTGATCTTTCCTATTTCTTAGCATGCTGAATGTATCCGGCTTATGCAAAATGTACAGTAATGCAAAAATAGCCTATAGACATAGGCTATTTTTGTATTAGTGTAAGCTCCAATTTCTTGATATATGGACTACATAGAGCACTCATATGTTATAGTTATACAGAGGGAGATGCATCTTGCTGTGGACCCTTTTCTGGAACCCTATTTAATTGGTCGTTCGAGTGGTTTTTTGCTTATCAGTCATTCTATATATTAGGCTTTTATTATAGCTGTGATTTTCAGCAATTTCTGCTATTTTTCTTATTTCCCTCCATTTGTCTTATTCTTTGCTACCATGTGTGTAGGCTCTTCTGATAAGTGCTCTAAAAGCTGCCATTTTATAGTTGTATGGATTGTTAGAGTTGGCTGGGATGTATATTGGGATGGCACTTGGTTTTCGGTATATTTTGGTGTCATATCTGTTACCATTGAATGCCATACTAAAGTCCAAGAAATGAGCCTCTTTATTGTTCGTTTGTTCTAATTCAATTGTAAGGCCATACAGGTTGTTATTCATGCACCGTATAAATTCTTTGATGATTGGCTTTGTCTTCCATATGATGCATATGTCATTGATCTATTGCTTATATACAAGTAACCCCCGTATAACATGGCACTTCTATAGCACAGATTCACTCTAATACAGTTCGAGAATAGGGTAAAACCCTCATACAACATGAAATGTAATAAATTTTCATATACTTAAGTACTAATAGTTCACAAAAATTATTATTTTCGTGAACTATTAGTACTTAAGTATGTAAATTTTCTTTTCCGTCTTCTGTTGATACATGTAATCCCTCTCGAAACTTGTTTCAGTGTTGCCAGATCTTGACGCTTCTGATTTTGTGTTGCCAGATGTTTTCCCTTATTCCATACTTGCTTTATTCTTCATAAGTGCTTAGCACCATATAAGGAAATTTATAAAGATCTTTTAACTAAAAGCAAGCAATCTAAAATAACATATTTTTTGGAAAAGGTAGAGCATGGATCTGAAGATAATGCAGAAAAATGCTCAGAGGATAAGGATAACTTGCCAAAAAGAAAATGCCCTCGGTTAATAGTGCTTAGTGATGATGAAGAAAACATTGCTTAATTTATATTAATATGTATGGCTTAAGAAATTTATAATAAAGATATTTATCTTAATTATGAAAATATAATTGCATGTTTTTTAATTTTTGGAACCTAACCCTCCCTTTTCGTACTAATTCTTTGTTTCGTATAACACAGATTCACATAACAATTTTTTGGAACATAACTTCCGTGTTATATGGGGTTACCTGTACTTCAATATTGAGAAGGAACTTGGGGATGATCTTGGATTCTAGAAGACGTACTACAATTTCAGCTAATTCCCCTGACAGTGGGCTACCCATAGATACCCCTCTTTTTTTGAAGGAACATCTTCCCATTCAATTGTAAGCATGAGGTATAACATAGTATATGTGATAGTTCTAGTATTTGTCTTTGGTCTGCATTGTTTGCCATCTTAGTCTGGAGCCAATCTCGTAGACCACAGAAACAGGGCTCTAGTTTAACTGTGGGTATAGTGCCTTAAAGTCTAAAATAGTGATCCAGAATTCTTCAGATGGTTCACAGTTCCATATGGCTTCAATTACTTGCATGGAATTGGAAATCATAAACTGATAGCCTTCTAGGTGGTTAGCCAGGAGCATGTGGAACGTCTGTTTTATTTTTCTGGCAGATGTGTTGGTTTTGTCCAAGATAGGTCTTAAATTCTATCCATTGTTTATGTGTTTTGGTGTAGGCAATAGTCTGGGGACTGCTGATGAGGCTACTGTTGCATTGCTTAACCCTAACTTCCTTGCCAGTTGAGTATGCATAAACCTATGGACTCTTGACTGGATCTTGTTGATGAAGTTTTCTCCTACTTCCTTGCATTCCGTGTCCTGTATATATTTCTGTAAGATGGTGGTATAGGAGTCCTTCTTCATCAACACTATAGTTTTATTTTTATCTGCCTCTATCCCTTGTGTATGCATTTGTCTATGCCAAAATGCATAAACAAGGGATGGAATTAAGACCTATCTTGGACAAAACAGACTATCAAGACAAATGCCATAATGTGTGATTATAGACCAGGGGTGGCCAACCTGCGGCTCTTTGAAGGATTATTTGTGGCTCTCGATAAACGTACCCGAGTTCCCTTTTCATTTTTGTGTTATTATATTTTTAAAAATTATTATCGTTCCGTATGTGTTTCAAAATGTCTTTTAAATTACTAGCAACAAATATGAAAGACTAAGTGCAACGTTGTAACAAATTTCATTTCCGTCCAAGTTAAGAATGATATGACTCATCAAAAACTGCGCAAACGAACATAAACAGTGGCGTAATCGTCTGTTATCGACCGACTCCAGACTGATTTTGAATTTGTAAACTGTCATTGGACAGTTTACAAACTCCAGAGCACAATGTCAACTGTCAACGGACAGTTGACATTGTGCTCTGGAGGAAACAATTTGTATTACTCTTGCTACGGATATAATTTGTAATCTGGAATTTTTTGCATACCTTTTTAATATGTATTTAATTGCGGCTCGCAAAAAATTTCAAATTTTGAAAAATGGCTCAGACTATCAAGGAGCTTGGCCACCCTGGTTATAGACCATGGTCACTGAGTCGTTCCCAGTTGACACTTATGTGTAACTAGTATAGTTATATCTAAATTAAACACATCTGGAAGCAAAGGAGTGGATAGAGGCCCAGGTAGCATAACTGGCAATGTTTCTGCATGGTAAACATCAGTTGGGGTTTGAGTCCCACTAAGGACAATTCTTTTCTTCCAGAATTTTGTAAATTATTTAGTATTATTAATTTAATTATAATTATTAAATTTAATAAGAGATTACAACTAACACTTACATTTAGTGCCAAATTACTTAGTATTTAATTAACCTGATTTAATCCAGCAATTGTTCAGCTTTAATATAACTATCAGGTTCAGAGATATTTATACAATAATTTGATCACCTCAGTATTTTAATGATATATGTGTTGTATGATGATAAAATTATTATTTTCATAAGCAAACATAAATTTATATCACCGTTTTTTTTAGGAAATTGATGAGCTTAATCCAAATAATGAAGAACCAAATGAAGATGATAAATTTCATCCTATTGTTGAAGATATTAATTCGTCAAATGTAAAACAAATTGAACAACATTCTTCTGATAGTCAATCTACAATGAAACAAGAGAGAGAAAATGCTGAAAATAGTATACAAAATCAAGATAACCATGAAGTTTGCAGTACTGAAAACTTCAAAAGTAATAATGGTAATGTATACATATTTATATTGTATAATTTTTTTTAATTGTATTGATGTTATTTTCAGTATTTTCCTAAGATAACAAATATCTAATATTACCTTAATAACTGCTGTAGTTATTTTTAACAAATTATAATTAAACATTTTAACTTGATAATACAGGAATTTCCTAATTCTGAATTCTTCCTATAATGAACTTGTATGAACCGTATTGAGCAACTGACAATCCCTGGTAAATGGTATACAAACATATGCAATTTATTATGCCATATAATGAAAAAAATTTCAAAATCTTCTAGTAAAATCATTTTTATTTCAAACTCTTGCCAATTGTGTTGCAGCAGACAATATCAAAAAAATTCATTTGAAGAGAGGTCTAGGACACCAGCTTCAACTATGAGCATTATCTTCAACAATTATGAATTTCTTGCTAATTCAACTACTTTTGAAAAACAAAAGAAGCAGTGCTTGTACAACTCAGTAATATATTTAATTATACCAAAAACATTTTCAATCTACTTCCATAGGTTTTCTTTAGTTGGAACATCAAACTTAAATCTAAGTTTGATGTTCCAACTGAAGTACTGCTTCTTTCATTTGGGTACTTCTCCAGTTTTGTCAAATTATTTTACTTTTGAAAAAACTTTGCACTCATTTTTGTCAATATTGCAACGTTTTGCTTGTTAAAATATCTATCAATGAATTTTTATCCTTTAGCTACATATTTCTGACATTTAAAGTCTGTTAATTAAATGCTGAACTTTTAGACTTAGCTTTCCTTTGCTACACACAGTAGTGTTTTGCAATTTTTTGATAAGTATTTTTGTGAGCCTCAGCTGATTTCTGACAACACTGCCACAAGTACAACACTCTACAGGACTATTATAAACTGTTTACAATACAAGTGGAAATAAATTACAGTGTTATAAATTTTTAGTTTTTTCCATGCTTTTATTAGGTATGTTTAATTCTAAATGCTTTTTATACTTCTAAACGTGTAACTAATTATTTGTTAGTATTCTCCAGTTATAAAATTTTCCTTATATCAAACACTCAAAATATTAGTCCCCTCAAATTCATTAATTAGAGCAGGGGTGGCCAACCTTTTGCATACCATGCGCCAATTTTTTGATAGACGAGTTCACATGCGCAGTGGCGTACCGTGAGTGTTAGCAGCCCGGGGCGGAGAAAAATTTTGGCCACTCCTTATTTAGGTATTTCAATTTATAAGATGAAAATTCAGATTTGCCACAGAACAAGCAATGAAAAATGCGGTTGTAGTGTAGCTACCCGTATAAAATAGTTTTATAAGACATCAGTGGTGTACATGAAGACGAATGCATCGTGTAACGTACAAGCAAAAAAAAAAAAAAAANAAATAGTTCTATATGCCACTAGTGGTGTACATGAACACGAATGTATCGTATATCGTACAAAAAAAAAAAAAAAAAGGTCAACAGGTTGATAGCACCAGATCGTGTAAGAAATACATTTGCCAAGACACACTGTAAAAAATTAATTTCCTATGTAATATTCATAATTGCAATGAAGCCAAATCTGGCAATGTTGCTCGGAACCGACTGAAGCGCCACTTGTAGTCGTCCAATGCGCCAAGTTTGGCGCATGCGCCACGTTTTGGCCACCCCTGAATTAGAGAATTTCCTGTATTATATTTCTTCAAATTTTTTGTAAAATCAAAAATTAATGAATTCATTTTTAGGTAAAATCTGAAATAGTATATAATACATTCCTCAAAAGTGAAATCACAACACCATGAAGGAATGCATGTAGCAACGTGCAAATTGCAGGACTGGTAAAGGTGACAGAAATATGCAAATGATTGTTTACATATGCATCAGGTCATGTGGTACCCATTTTCAGACTATAAAGACCAGCAACTGACTTGTGTTATAAATGCTGTCAGTGACAGTTTGTGGCAGCTCAACTTTCAAAAAAGTTTAGAAAATGCCTAAGCGACAATAGCAAGCTGAATACCACCAGTTAACAACTGGAGAATGAGACTGTATCATGGAGCTGTGCAACCTCAGTTTATCAATGCACACAGTTGCCACATGCGTTGGGAACGACATGAGTATCATCCAGCGATGTGTGACACAATGGATGCAGGAACATCTGTGAACATGCCAAAAAGGGAGTGGATTGCATGACACACAACAGAGCACACAGACTGGCAGATTTGCTGAATATCCTGTCGGGACTTGTTCACCATGGCACATCACATCTGAAGCTGCCTGTCACCATCAATGGGTGCATCTGTGTCCACCCAAACCATTTGCAACAGTTAGGCTGCATGCACAGTAACCAACAATGGGGGTGCCATTAACTGCTCAACACAGGGCTGTATGTTTGGCAAGGTATTATTGTCATTGCAACTGGACAACTGAATAGCATTAGATATTGTTTATGGATGAATCCTGCTTGGACAGATGGATGTGGTGGTATCCTGGGGAATATTACATGCCAGTTCTTATTGCCAAGTGTCAGACTGGGCATCATGGTTTGGGGAGGCATAATGTTTGATCAGTGGACAGTCCTGTACACATTTCCAATACTCTGACAACAGAGCGTACATCACACAAATTGTGGGGTCCGTGGTTTGGCACTGGTGCAGGCTGCACCCATTGTGGTGTTATGTTCCAGCAAGACAATGCCTGACAGCATGTCACACAGTGAATTTTGCCTGAACAGAATTCACATCTTTTCCTGGCCCACAGCCTCACCAGACCAACGAACACCTGTGGCACTTTGACCAACTTGAGGTGCATCAGGGACCACTGCCACATACTGTAGACAACTTGCATGCCATAGTGTATGCAACTTGGCAAGGGATACCTCAGACAATCATTAATCACCTCATTGATAGTATACCTTGTCACATAGCAGCCTGAATAGCTGCTCATGGGGGCCATATTTGTTACTGAATAAAGAGGTGTCTGTTGCATAACTTTGTTTCTTCTTTTCATCATTTGCATATGTCTCTCATTTCTTTTGATCCTGCAATGTATACGTGGCTATGTGCATTTCTGCATGGTGTTGCAATTTCACTTTTGAGAAGTATCTAAATTAACAAGTGAAAACATTTGTGAACAGTAAGACCTTGTATTTGATAGCATAGTGATAATCAATGAGTAGCTTTAATCGTTTATGTAACTATTGTTTAATTAATTTTTATTATTACATATATTTTACTGTAAGTTGAAAAAAATAATTTCTATTAGATACAGGAAGGCATACATCTTGGCAACATTGCTATGATGAACATTCTGGCTACATTTATTTTTGGAATATGGATACAAATGAAGTTACCTGGGAATGTCCTGAAGAATATAGCAGTTATTTTCGTACAATTGATAAAGCTGCATTAACTAACAATAAGGAAACCAAGGAAATTGGTTCAGTGGGAAAACAAAGAAAGAAAAGAGAACTGGAAATGAAAACTCGTTCTGAAATTCCTTATGATGGGTAATGCCACTTTTTATAAATAAATGTAATAAATCTACAGACCTATAAAAAACTCATATAGGTTTTTTCATTTTTCTTATTATAAATTGTAGAAAATGATAAAATTTTTATATTATAAACAAGAGGAAAATTAAACTAAGACTTTAAACAAACAAAAGTTGTTTTTCCTCTTATTTACATCAATAATCCAGTTGATAGTATGTCTTTTATATTAGGGTGGATCAAATGAAAATGGAACAGTAGCCATTATTTATTTTCAAATGTAATCACCAAAATTACACAAGCACTTGTCCCACTGTTGCACCAAGCGGTGAATACCTCATTTGTAGAAAGATTTGGCTGAGATTGAAACCAGTTTCGAACAGTGTCCATGACTTTGCTGTGTGATTGAAAACGTTGACCCCGCAATGCTTTTTTTAGCAGACCAAAGATGTGAAAGTCACATGGTGAAAGGTTGGGGCTGTATGGTGGTTGTTCCAACACACTCCACTGAAACTTCACAAGCATGCTCATTGTGCAAGTGGCTGTATGTGGCTGTGCATTGTTGTGGAGCAAAAGCACTCCAGAGAACAATGAAAACAGTGTACGGAGAACACTGTTTTCATTGTCCTCTGCACTTCACAAACTCCAACACCTTCTGCCGCTAAAAAACGAATAACACCACGTTGCTCTTCTTTAGTCGCAAACATGATGCAGACTGATTGCCAGCTGGACTACACTCCTGGCCAACTGCCAGCTCATACCATGTGGTTGAGTGTACTTAACAAGAGTAAGTCCATACCTCAATAGGGTTTCTCCTCTTTCACCTCCTACTCTACATCTACACACAGTTTTGTTACACTCACATACACATACACCGAATTATGACCACTGTTTCGTTTTCATTTGATTCACCCTTATACATAAGTCACTTACTAAGTCATGACAACATTTTTGTGCAGGCAATTGCATTGTTCTAGAAACATTTCAAAATACACATATGAAAAGACACAATTACTCTACCAATGAATGGGTTACTTTCCAAGTAACCCATCTAACAGACATCATTGGGAAGTATTGTAGACAAGGGAGGAAAAACAAAAACCAGAACTGGAACTAGTCATTTTATTTATTGCATATACCTTATAATGTTGAGCACTAGTCTGCATATACATTAACACATTAACAACCTTCAAAGTAATCTGCAAGGCAATCAATCATTTGCTGCCAATGATGAGGAAGGTGATGAATAACATCCATTTTCCCATTGTCCAATTTGGTAATCTTGCATCACACTATGTTGGCGATGTCTTCTTGTGTACTGAATCATTTTCCATGCAATAGAGCTTTCAATTTTGGTATCAAATCTTAATCACAGGGTGAAAGATCTGGGGAGTAGTGGGATTGATGTAGTACTTTCCATTTTTTAGTGCTGTAAATGGTTGTTAACTGTGACTGAAGGGTCAGCACCTCTTTGATGTCTCATCAGAAATGACACCACCATGTCTCGTGCGACATGAAAGCCGTGGTGGTAAATTAGTTAGGGTTGAAAGCAGGTCGTGTGTGCATGATCGGATTTGGATGGATGGCAGTGAGACAGCACAATGGAAGTAATACACTCAGATTCTAGTTAAACTAAACAAATAACCATTTATTTGTAAAGGAGAATACATATTATACATTTTATCCTTAACGAGTTATAATATAACAAACTAAACTTGGTATAGATACCGTCACTTTTCACACAAATGAGAGTTTACATGAAATCACACATTGTTATAAATACCTGGAACGAGAAGAGAGTCACTTGTAGATGAGATGATCATTTGATCATCTTTAGAGTATTTTACACTGGAGAGTTTGGAGCACACCAGGAACAGTTCGAAGTATGGAAGGTTCTATCTGGGACAGGAGTTGGAAATTTCCAGGACCAGAGAACATGACAGAGACGAACTGGAGATGATATTCTGTTGAGTGACTGGTGACGCCTGCCCTTACTGCCCGTTAGTTATATTAAAAGTGATGAAATCGGGACAGCAGGTCGAGAGGTTATGAGAAAGTGTCACTTTCAATGCTGAGAACTTTAAAGATGATCTGCTCTCAAGTTAGTCAACAAAGTTATATTATCAATAAAGTTATGCGAGAATCCGAACTCACAACTTTGTTGTGAGTTCGGATTCTCGCATAACAAACTGTGCAGTATGGGCTGTAGCATTATCTTGTAGAATGCTTGCATTGTACAACAATTTGAGATGTTTATCCCTGATTGCATGATATAGGTTCTACAGATAAGCAGTATAATAGGCTGCATTGACAGTTCAACCAAGTGAAACAAAATGACACAAAAGAATTCCTTGAATGTCATAACCATAAATGACCATTAACTCCACTGCAGATGGCTTTTGATGGAATTTGTGTTTTCATAGTGATTCTGGGTGTTGCCATTCAGTGCACTGGCATTTGAGCTCAGGTTCATAGGCCCTGATCTAGTTTCATCAATGGCAATAATCCTGTTCAACATGGCATCTCTTTCAACTCCATATCATTGCAGATTCACATGACGCGTTTCATAACATGTCCACTTTTGGAGTTTTGTCAGTGCAGGTTGCACCCATTTGGCAGAAATTTTGCACATGTGCAAATTGTTTCATAAAATTTATGCACAGTTGTGTGATCAATACTGTTTGTATTGCCAACTCCTCCATAGACCATCATTTGTTATCCTCTAAACATTGGACAATCACAGCAAAAGCAACATCAGTACAAACATTCCTAGGGCATCTAGTGCAAGGCTTGTTGCTACTCTTCCATGTTCAAAAGCTGCTACCCACCTTGCAACAGTTCTGTATGGGAGAGCATGCTCACTAACAATTTCTGTGAGCTGTACGCGACATTCCCTCGCATTTTGCCTGCAAAGCACTGCAATTTTTATATAAATGCATTGTATAAATGCAATTTTTATATAAATGCATTGTATAAATGCAATTTTTATATAAATGCATTGTATAAATGCAATTTTTATATAAATGCATTGTATAAATGCAATTTTTATATAAATGCATTGTATAAATGCAATTTTTATATAAATGCATTGTATAAATGCAATTTTTATATAAATGCATTGTATAAATGCAATTTTTATATAAATGCATTGTATAAATGCAATTTTTATATAAATGCATTGTATAAATGCAATTTTTATATAAATGCATTGTATAAATGCAATTTTTATATAAATGCATTGTATAAATGCAATTTTTATATAAATGCATTGTATAAATGCAATTTTTATATAAATGCATTGTATAAATGCAATTTTTATATAAATGCATTGTATAAATGCAATTTTTATATAAATGCATTGTATAAATGCAATTTTTATATAAATGCATTGTATAAATGCAATTTTTATATAAATGCATTGTATAAATGCAATTTTTATATAAATGCATTGTATAAATGCAATTTTTATATAAATGCATTGTATAAATGCAATTTTTATATAAATGCATTGTATAAATGCAATTTTTATATAAATGCATTGTATAAATGCAATTTTTATATAAATGCATTGTATAAATGCAATTTTTATATAAATGCATTGTATAAATGCAATTTTTATATAAATGCATTGTATAAATGCAATTTTTATATAAATGCATTGTATAAATGCAATTTTTATATAAATGCATTGTATAAATGCAATTTTTATATAAATGCATTGTATAAATGCAATTTTTATATAAATGCATTGTATAAATGCAATTTTTATATAAATGCATTGTATAAATGCAATTTTTATATAAATGCATTGTATAAATGCAATTTTTATATAAATGCATTGTATAAATGCAATTTTTATATAAATGCATTGTATAAATGCAATTTTTATATAAATGCATTGTATAAATGCAATTTTTATATAAATGCATTGTATAAATGCAATTTTTATATAAATGCATTGTATAAATGCAATTTTTATATAAATGCATTGTATAAATGCAATTTTTATATAAATGCATTGTATAAATGCAATTTTTATATAAATGCATTGTATAAATGCAATTTTTATATAAATGCATTGTATAAATGCAATTTTTATATAAATGCATTGTATAAATGCAATTTTTATATAAATGCATTGTATAAATGCAATTTTTATATAAATGCATTGTATAAATGCAATTTTTATATAAATGCATTGTATAAATGCAATTTTTATATAAATGCATTGTATAAATGCAATTTTTATATAAATGCATTGTATAAATGCAATTTTTATATAAATGCATTGTATAAATGCAANACGTTGAATTTTCGTCGATGTTAAGCCTAACGAAGACTATTGTATCGTTAAAAATTATTTTTTTATTTTGTACAAACAAAATAAATATATTGAAAAATATAAAAACAATAAAAAATAATACTTCAGAAGTTAATTTAGCATCAAAAACGTAAAATATTTGAGTAGCCCAAGATATAGCCAAAGATTGCAGCGCCACAGCACTAGCGAAAATTTAAATTTGCCGACTGGAATTCTTTCGGATAATTGACTTTCGGATAATCGACGCAATACTGTATTAACTTGAAACACATCTCATTTACTGTTATTACTAATTATCAAAGTTTATTAATTTTATTTTTTATAACTCTTGCAATTATTATAATCATTAATATGTAGAAATTGTAATTCTGATTGCCATGTAATCATGTCTAGCTAATCATGTAATGTATGTAAAGTTTCAATTACTAATTTCATTAATTTAAATATCTAGTTAAATTAACTAAATTTAACTAACAAGGGGACCTTACGGTCTCGGAAATTCAGTTCAGGATGAGACTTTGCAGGTTAGTAGTATACCTCAAGGGTGTCCACCCAGAAGAATTGTAAAGCGCATTAGCCAGAAGATTCCGAGAAAAAAGGCTCTAAAGTTTTAAGCTCAGCTCATATACTGATCGATTTTACATTATGGCAGCACAGCGAAATGGCTGAGTCTGTAGCGAACTCGCTTGCAATGCGG